CCGAGTCAGTGCTGTCCGAGCCAGTCGCAGCGCCGGACGAAATCCAGACGCCGCCCGACCCAACTCCAGCCGGGCTCGACACACGCACCACACCGCTGCTACTCGAGCCTTCCCCGCTACCCAACGCCAGTGACGCACCACTTCCCGACGCACTCGCGCCACCGGACATCGTTTCGTCGCCTCCCGTCGCACCAGCACCACCAGCTACAGCAAGCGAGCCACCCACGTCGTCGGAGCTGCCACCGCCCAACACACGCACAGACCCACCAGCACCTGCAGCCTCGCCGCTAGACACAATCACCGACCCACTCAACTGCGCAAGCACCGCGCCAGAACCGATCGCAACAGAGCCAGACGAGCCCGCATCGACCGACTCACTCGTTAACGATACAGCACCGCTGCTCGCGGAAGTCGCGCCCCCGTGAAAGCTTAACGTCACCGAGCCGCTCTCCGTCGTTACGCCGTCGCCACTCAGTATCGTCATGCTGCCGCCAGTCAACGACGTCGAGACGCCACCCACCACAGACACCGCAGAGCCTTCTCCGAGCAAGGAAGCACCACCTGACACATCGATTGATTCAGCACTAGTGTCAACAGATCCGCTATCGATACGAACGGACCCGCTTGCTGGTGGAATGACTGATTCTAGAGTGCCTCAGAGTGGTGTGGACTACACCGGTCGTGCTGGCAAGTTGGCACCGGAGCCTACCCTATTGTGGGTGATGGGCCACTGTGTTGATCAGATTTGCGTTTGTGTTTTGTATATTTCCTCATATTCCTCCATGTTGAGCTTGTTGAGGATTGTGAAGAGCTCAGCCATCAAACGCAAAATCCGCGACTCAGCGTCTTGTAGATCCTGTCCATTCACAGCTCCTTACCTCACTTCCCAACTTCGTATAAGCTGTGAAATCAGGTTCATGGGCTGAAAAAAAAACGCTTTCCGCTTGGCCTCAGACATGTCTGTCTTAAATAATTCAAAATCACGAATTCGAACTTAAGTGCTTTGCACGATGTAAGCGCTTAAAGGCATCACAAAGAACCTTGCGTGTGTAGGTTGATGACTCCCTTTTTCTCTCTTTTTGAGCTGCCTTTGTAGATAGGAGGTACAGGCAGGTTGGTTCCTGCCGCGACGGTGACGGCTGGAACCTCTGTCGGTTTGCTTTCGGACTCGCTTGTGTCGTTCTGTGCAAACACTCCCCACCTAGCAGCGCTTTGGGGCCTCACTGACTTAGCTAGGCTCTTTATTCGTTTCGTTGTAGCCCCACAGACTCCTGTGCAGTTTTCAGAAGACTGTACTAGTCTTCTTTGTAACGTCGGTGCTCCTCAATCTAACGACACATATTCACCTGCCTCTCGACCTAGTGTGACCGCTGGTCGTGCTGAGCTTGAAGGAATTCAGCAGTTTGCGTCGAGAGGAGCTCCTGTCGTCGATGCACTTCTCCAAACTGCCCAGCTGTCGTTTGCTGAACGGCGTGAGGAAATACCATCGGTCAGTAGAAAACTACTGATCTGTCCCCAACGCGGCGCAGAAAAGACGGCAATCAGTAGAAACTGATAAAGTTCGATCCGTACCTAACTCTAATCATAACTACATTTCTGCTGCCTTCAGCAAAACCGCTTTTGCCCTAAGCGTACCATGCCTCGAAAGCCGCCTCCAAATTATGGGAGTTCTCCCTTCGTGGTAGATCTTTCTGACATCGCTACAGCTAAAAGCATGGGTGTTTTGAGGGAGGACGCAAAAGTTGATGCTCCAGCCAAAAGTATGGGGGAGTATACGCGACGCGAGCCAATATTGCAGACACTAAGTTTCCAACACAAATAAGGAAACTAACGACACAAACAATTGCAATCGTTGACTGCTGATTAATAATTAAGGTATTTCTTTCCAATAGATTATCTTACTGATCCTCACTCTCAATAAATATCAGCAGCAAACGGACTGGGGAGTCAATCTCTGTGAGTAGATAGAACTCTACTAACGTACCCTGAGAGTAACCAGCTGGATACGTCGTGTACCCAGCTACTTCAACGTCAACATGTTAATTCGGTGTACTATTTTTTAGCTGCTCAAAACGCCTTTATTTATATGGTTGTTTTTGTGGAGTGCACTTCGGTGGCATTCGCCATTTTGGTCGATGCCTCCGCTCAACCCCCGACAGCGTCACGCCCAAACGATCCAGCGCCGTCTGGACGGCTCCTTTTGGCAGCTTCGTCTAAGCAGAGAAGTTAGCATACCGAACGAAGTCGACCGAGAGCTGGACGCCGAGCGTGCATCGTCCATAGGTGGTGGGTTACGTGACGTTGTCAGTAGAGGAGGAGGTCTTTTGGCAAACGAGCGCCGAGCTCGTAGAGGAGACAATGCTCAGCTCTTCGAGATAGAAAGAATATACGCCAAACGGTGGGTCAATAACTTCGTATACTACCTTATTCAATGGGTGGGGTACACAGAGTTGACGTGGGACCAACGTGCCAGCGCGCCTAAAGATGGTGTTCGAACACGAGTCAGTCAATTATGTCTGGGTCTATCAATCTACGCAGGGAAGACGAACCCAGCGTCGCGAGCAGCCAACGCGCCGGAGTCAGAGACTGATAGACCAAACGAGGCAGGACTAAGAGAAAATGCAAATGCGAACTTAACACCAAACGAGGCAGAATTAAGAGAAAATGCAAATGCGAACTTAACAGCACCCCAGTAGCTGTGAAATCAGTAGTTGTGCAGGCAGCGCCGCGTTGGGGACAGATCAGTAGTTTTCTACTGACCGATGGTATTTCCTCGAACGGCGTCGGTGTGTTAAGTCAATGCCTCAACTTGTCGCCTTGTTTCTTCACCCTGCCCTCCTTGCTGCACGGACATCTGCGTTCGTGTCTCCTGCAGCACCAAATAGTCGCTATCAGGAGGTAGAGGGCATTTCCGGAGTGGTAAGGGCCACCATGGACTTATCGTCTCTTTTTATTCTGTTGGGCGCTCGTCGTTGTGCGACCTCTCAGCCTAAAAACTCTTTGATCGATGTCGCAGCTCTTAATCTAAAATGTATAAATATAATTTACTTAACAGTTAGTTTTTTGCGCCTTTCTACAGCCGTTATCCGTTCTGCAACGCTCACCCAGGTCTGAAACCACTGCGGATTGGTTTCGTGGTGTCTGAGCTGCTTGGCTGCAACCCCTGCGGCTACAGCACCTTTGTCGTCAGCTGCTACAACACCTGCCATCACTACTACTGTTTGAAAACCTGACCGAAAGATTTATTGGTAGGCCCTTTTTAGCTCACTCAGCAGATAAGGTGGCAAGAAACGTACTTAAGTGGGGAAATTTCATAAAATAGCATCTAGTATCTGCTTTATAATATATACTACCTCCGTTCTGAAAAAGATAACCATTTCAAATTATATTACAGCCTACCCAAAACAATACCCCCTCTATGCCGATCACTTTTTGGATTTTGAATCTCCCGCGCTTTCCCGACCAGACTGGCTCCCGCTCCCAGCTTTCATTTTGAAAGCTGGCACCTGGGGGAGATCACAGACAGTGACCTTACTGCTTCGCAGCGTGGGAGGAGTGCTCAAACATGGAGAGATCGTTCGGGTTGCAGCGTACTTCCGTGTGGGCCGCCAAGTTGTCGAGCGAATTTGGAGGCGTGGAATCAATTCAATGGGAGATCGAGTAGCAGCCGTGGTCAAGTCAAGGAAGAGCGCATGTGGTAGGAAGAAGCTGAGCTGTGCGTGAGAATCGCTGCAGTTCCTGTCAATGAGCGCGAAAACCAGCGTCTGCTTCAGCGCGCGTCCAACATGAGCTGCTACCTGGTTCAGCAGCTGATCAAGAAAGGCTACATACGGCGTGCGCTCAGACATACCCGTCCACTACTTACACCCACGCACAAGTTGGCGCGCTCCGGCACAAGGACAAGCAAGTACGAGCTGGCACTCTCCCTACGTCACTGCCTTGTGACGCTACCTCACTCGCCAATGCCAACGCGTACATGCTGCTTCTTGCAGCGAGCAGCCCCCCACCGCCTACCGCTGAAGTTCCAGAAGCCCCCCTTTAGAATGTGGCGATGTAGTTGCCGTCTTAGATCCGTTTTTGTATCTGTAGTTGCACGGCGGAGCATAAACGCCTGTGCCTTGCTTAGTTTCTCACTGTCAGCTCTCGGTCATAAAGCTAGCTAGCCAGCCTCTCACAAATTAATAAACGCTCAAATGAACGAGACGGAGCGCTGCGCAAAAAAAAACCAAATGGTTATCTATTTCCGAGCGGAGGTAGTATATATCTGAGCTAGCACTAAAATATTAAGCTAATTTTTGAAAAACTGAGTTACTTTTTATATTTAGTCTCGCAGAATAGTACTACGTATTAATAGTACTGCTACTATCAAAAATATCATGTGTTATTTGGTTACCATTAGTCCGCGGTACAGTACGGTAAAAGTAAAAGCCAGACAAATTTTGCAGTGGAAATCACAATACCGGTAGCAGCATGGACCATAGCCTCCCTCAACGACTCCAGCACGAGTCCGATTCCTGATCAAACTCCTGCTTAAGGGCTCCTCTTTCCGACAGCAGGTGCTGACACAACGGTCTCTGTGGCTCTCTCCACACCTTCACGTACAGATTCTGTGCGCGACAGCGTTGATCAGCGCACAGTTCTAAGTATTGATGAAGCTACACGGTGCTCACTCCCTCTTGCACAGCAAGCACCTGTACCAGCTTAAGCTGAAACGACTACAAAAACCATTCAGCCGAACACGCGCTGGACTGCTCTGACGCAGGCATCATTGTTCACCTTCAGCAATTTTGTTGTGACTATTGCGCAGAAAAAAATAAGAGTGAACCGGGACGTTCATTATCGACAGCGGATACAATTGAGGATGACATCAGATAATAATATAAGTGTTCCAACTCGAAATAATGATATTCTTTTTAATCAGCACTCCTGTGCCGCGTTATTAATACCTTCCAACGGGTAACATCTAATCATACGTATAGCGGTAACGATTTATGAAAATCTCACTGCAGTTGCTGCTGAGATTGCTTGCCCTTGACGAACGCCGTGTAACCTATGGCAAGAGTTTTATAAGTCTCCTTGAGCTCACGGTTCTCGCTCTGATTCAGCTCCTTGGCAACTTTCTTGGTGGAAAACCCACTCTTATACCAATCTTCGTACAGTCGATTAACCTTCTTTGAGTTTGACAAAGCCTTCTTGAGTCGAACCTCGATGAAGGGTTTTCTCTCGCCTTTCTTGGCAGGGTAATAGTAGACGTGTCCATTCTCGCCCGTAGCCACGTCGGTGTTGCGTAGCATTCGCGAGTTCTTGGCTTCTGTCTGGACGGTGTTGAAGGAGTTGATCGAAGATGTTGCTTTCGCTTTGCGGAGGTTGGAGCCACCGGCTGCAGAGACGCTGCCGTTTGCGATGGCAAGAGTCGCCACGACCATCATCAGGACACTGTGCATACGCATGTTCTTTCTTGGATAAATATTTTGAAGTGGGGGATACGCCGCTTGGCAGATTGAAGAGTGGATGACCGCCATTCATGTATCGAATAGCACAAAAGGCACGTACAGACTGATGTCACAGGCGGACCAGTCATGAGCGTCAACACGGGATGGCGCCATAGGATCGACTGGCCTCCAGCCGTCGGAACGTGAGGTAGTAATTTCCCGTTTAGAGAGTCCAACGCGTTCGATTCGCTCTCGTGCGTCGCACGATACAAGGCAGTTCTGAATTGAAAAGCGTACAGTTGAGTCAAAGATAGATTTGGAAACCTTCCATATATCATTCCCGTGTAAAGTTAGATCGATTTTCCTAAGGGTCCTTACAAAAGCCTTGTAATTTTGTGTAGTTCTTAATAAAACCTTGGATAAAGCATTTAGTCCCACCTTTCGTCGTGTTTAAGCATGAATATGTGACGAGGAGACAATGCACAGCATTACTGTGCCGTAGACGCGTCAGGATAGGGTAATCCCACTCGCAATCAGGATAATGTAATCCGACTCGCTCGGAATGGTGGGTGCTCGCTTAGTATTCATACATTAATGCATGAAGCGTCAAAAATCTTTAGCTGCATTTAGCATCTGGTTCAAATGTGTGTTCACTTTTGTACAGTAGTACTGAGGGTACCCCCGAAGCCTCGCAATTATGCGTACCGGTACCTAGTTTACAGCGAAGGAGTGGTTCCTCTTTGCAGCGATAAAAAGAAGCTCCATTTGCTATTACTTTGGAGAGGGATGATTGTTTTTAAGCAATCAAAAATGTGCTCCGTACGACATATACCATATTCCGGAAAAGTTTACTTAATGTTTACTAATGAGATACTGATTATACACTGAGTGGGATACTTGTAGAGCTAATTAACACTCGAGGATTCGGCTCGGCAAGCGAGCCGGCCTTCACCTCATCTTATACTAGCAAATAGAACCCCCAGGCTGTGCTAAAAACCATATCTGTTTCGGCAATATTTTACTAAGCTTTTTATTACAAACATGGTACTAGCCTACATTATTATCCGGCCTTTATGAAAAAGCTGCCGATAATGCTTTCCGTTATTTCCAAACCGCTAAGTCTAGATTTAACCGTAAAGTTCATTTGAAAATGTCTTTATCTAGTAAGCAACAGTTTTCTTAAAGTATGTAAGAGTTCACACCGCGTGCAGTATTGCTCAAATATGCCTCAGAATGGCCGCAATCATTTTGTTCAAACACATGCCGCAGCTTGTCCGCAATCACATTTCGTAGGGTACATGTACAGTACTGCACATGTACTGCTCACGCTAATTAACAGCTGCAGCTGTAGAGCGCCGGAGGAAACACAGGAAATACAGTACTGTACTCTGCACTCCGTCGACATGTACCACGATTATCTCGTTTAAGTCTACAGAGAAAGAGTACACAAGACATGACAGATTGTACATTGTGTCTCGTAAAGCTTAATCTTCGGATTTTACTTGTTGATTTCCTCAGAGTCTTACGCCTCTAACACCAGCATTTGTAGCGCTAATGACAATTGAAACCTTTTAAGTTTGTGTTAATGTACCGGTACTGTACATGTACTGTACAATGGGAAGCTATCAAAATCCAGTGCTCAACGTCCAACCGTCGGTAAAGTGTATGCTCGAAAAAGTGTGTGTACAGCACCAATACATACGCCAACACCACGGAGATTATATACCCTTTTAGATCGGGTCACAGGTACTTAATTTACTTGTGACAAATCACCAAATTGCTATGATTTACCTTTCCAAATGTATGTACAGTAATCGCTCTCCATTCCGGTACTGGTATAAAATAATATCCCTAAAATATCGATACAATCGCTTTAAGGAGGGTGTACTGACGGGAAACGGAGGCATAGCTTGCGAGCCGGAAACTCCCTGGCGAAGCTGGCACTGCTGATCCCGTCGAAGTAGCACTCGGCCGTCAGTGACCACAAGATTTGACCGACCTTTACGAGCCTAAAGATATCTACAACATGGATGAAACCGGATTCTGCTATGCTATGGCTCCCTCCAGCTCCATTTGCACCAGGGGCGCTCGCGGTGCCAAGAAAAGGAAGACTCGTATTACTCTTGCTCTCACCGCGAACGCAGATGCCGCTGATGAAAGAAGTAAAGCGGTCGGTCACACTAGCTACGGACCCGATGTAGACGTAGAAGATTTGCCTCTCAGTTAACCTTGTAAATGTACTGTAGCTTTTTTCTTTAAGAAAATATATCAAATCCTAGGATATGGTCGGACCACGATACCGGAAGTGAGAGCGATTATTGTACGAGCTTCTACGCTTATTGAGGGGGCTTCTGCACTTGTTGACCCCACTGATTACGCAACCTGCGTCAACAATTAAAGGGTTCAGCAAAATGATTAGATGCCACCTAGTGAATGGACGATTTATGAGTCTGGAACGAGAGCATACGCTTTTCCGGCCAAAAATAAACACTTTTTGGTGAGCGGTAGACATAATTTGACACGGCCAAACACTTATGCCTCGAACTGACCGCTGGCATACACTTTTCTGACCACTAGCAAACACTTAAAGAAAGGACGTGGGATTTCACCTCTTTTACGTACATCTGCACTTTCCGCACGGAACCTGCACAAAACGGGCGAAACGCTCATAATTACCTGACTTTGTCAATTAATTCTGAGCCGCTGGTTCACATTTATCTGACTTTGTCAATTAATTCTGAACCGCTGGTTCACATTTACCTGACTTTGTCAAGTAATTGTGAACTGCTGGTCCACAATTATCTGACTTTGGTAGGTAAATGTGAACTGCCCGTTCATAATTACCGCTGTCAATTAATTCTGAACCGCTGGTTCACATTTATCTGACTTTGTCAATTAATTCTGAACCGCTGGTTCACATTTACCTGACTTTGTCAAGTAATTGTGAACTGCTGGTCCATAATTATCTGACTTTGTTAGGTAAATGTGAACTGCCCGTTCATAATTACCGCTCCACAGTTCAGTGCAACCATTGAACATAATAATGCTAGCCACCAAATCGATAGAAAAGGTATTAAGTTTGCATGGAAGTTTTTTTGGGCTAAGCACAATTTTTATTTGTCCTAAAGAGCAGATTTGTAGGGCTATATAAATATTAAGCCCGCTAGAGCAGGATTTGTCGGTCAGGCGATTAATTCTGAACCTCAGATACTCTACTACCGAACCAGCACCTAAACGTTTGAACGATGCCCCCCCCCCCAAAAAAAAAAAACTCGTCTTAACCAAGCGTCCGAACTGCACATCGAGCTGGACTTCGTCAAACACCAATGGGATCAGTTTTTCTTGCTCAAGCATTTTCAGTGAGAACAGGGTCACCGAAATGTTCGTTACAATCGATGGCTGCACGGTTTGAGGAACTCAATACTCAAGACACGCGAGCTGGTCGTTTCGAAAACAATCAGCGCCAATATTGACCCAGCGTCGGGCGTTCGTTTTGGAAAATCGACAGAGCGAAAGTGGATTCCCGTTTGTGTGGAATGGCTTATGAAATAACTCGCTTATCACTGGATTAAGTCCTTGTTCGAACACGTCTATCTCGTGCTACTCAACCCTGCTAAGGTCCTTAGGGTTTTGTCAGAAACTCCAGAGCCGTTCTAGCGATGCTATTATGCACTTGCGCTTGACAACCGTTTCTTCCCCAAACGGTATCTCTTGGGACTCGGCTACCTTCACCACCACTCTCCTACAAGCGATTTGTCTTCAATTGGAGACCTGTTACTCTTCAGTCGATGACCTGCTACTCCTGAGTTGTTGTTACTCTTCAGTCGACGATCTGCTTATCCTTTACCTTTGATCTGCTTAGTTTGTATAGTGTCGGAGCTAGTATTAGACTGTAGCAAGTGTCCCTGGCTATCTGAGTAGAATGAGGCTGTTGATAGTTTCAACAGGTTTTTCGAGACCGGGGGTGTAGAACAGCGTATCGACGCTGTGATGGGGGACGTGGAGAAGGCTCAAGCTAATGGACTAGTTGCTATCGGTGGGTATGAGAACAGAAGTTGTATGATTGCTTTTTCCACGTACTGTGCAACTTACGAAAGCGTATCCAGCACCTTGCCGAGCCCTTTCAAGTTGTTGTCTACCTCGAATATAAAACTTGCTGCTGGACGGAAGACTAGAAACTTTCACGAGTTATTTCTTCAGTTAATGGGTGTGATGTTTCCAACGTAATGTAACGGAGTTCGAAACGAAGTTTTCGGGCTCGATGATAGAGAAGTCCATGTAGATTACTACGAAGTCTACGTACATGACAACGTAAGCAAAGTGTCAGGATTCCATTCAACAAGGAGCTGGCAACGGATACCTCGATGGGAAAAGCTCCACCGACGACGACAAGGAGATTAGTTAAAAAAACTTCTAGCGATATCGGAAGACTACTCTATTTGCCTTCCCATTTCTCTAGCGATCGATAGAATAACACCGTCCACAAGATTGGCGATTGGGTAATTAAGGGTAGCGCCGGTAAATCTCCAAGCTAGGTCAGTTGAGCCCTCCGTAGATTGGCTCCCAAGCCTTGATTCGAGCTACCTTAACCTTGTGCATTGCGCCTAATCCGGCGATCTTTAAATTGAGCCCGCAAACAATGTGCTCGCAGGACAAAACTTTTTTAAAGTAGTAGCAGGAGCGTTAGTGGGAGTCGATGCGCACCACCCACCCCTCTCTGAGCATACCAACATGGTGGGCCCGGCGCACCGACCACCTAACAGCAGACCTGTAAAAGTTTTTGGAGTCTTTTGAGTTTCCTTATCTTAAAGGCACTCGGGGAAAGTAACGACCCGGGACGCTCATTGCTCACGGAAACGTCGTCAGAAAGCGAAGAACTGTCAATCGCCTTTGTTTGGATTTCTGGACTATCGCCAAGAAACAAAACTTCAACCACCGAAGGCGTGATGGCAGCGTAGATAACCACTTCTCGCGCTGGATTCAACACGTTAAGTAATTGTGAACTGTCAAGGGTCATAATTATTTGACCTGGTCGCATTATTGTGAACCGCTGCAGCTGATCCCATCCGATGCATCAGTTTTGGAATCAGACTTGGATCTTGCAGGACCAGTGGCTAGCGTTGAATCAGGGGCGGAATCAGAAAAGAGAAAATGCCTCAAAAGTGCCTTGAAAAGCCAACTGGAGAACCCGACACCAAGCTCCTGCAACAGAGTGCCGGCCCGTACAGCCTGCGGCCACGAAATAGCCTACTTGCCCCTGTACGAATCTACACCCACGCCGCAGGTAGGTCTACAGAGCTTGTCTCGATTCCACTCTTCGCTGATGATATCGCCAGCGTGAAGGAAGGAGCTCCGATTACTAGCTCCGTGGTGGAGTATTGTATCTCTCGTTACACGAAACCTGAGCCAGAGCTCACGTTACCTGCAGGATCGGCTATATTTTCCGCCATTAACTACGCCTACATCAAGCACTCGGGTCGGGAGTCCAGCGCCCCCGACACAATTGGTGATTTCGATTGGAGTGGATACAAATATGTATTACTGCCTGTGGCGTTTAACGACCACTGAAGTGCTGTAATTATCCAGAATGGCAGTGATGCAAAAAAGATATATGATCACATCGACTCGCTTCACAATGGTCACGACAAGGGGTATATTTTCGCGTGTCTGGACTGGTGGTTTGCGGTTCTACACACGAGCCGTGGAAGATTCGAGGCAGCCAGGGGGTTTTTCTACACCTGCAAGCCCCGCCAGACTAATGCGGTAGATTGCGGCATATATATGCTGCACTACCTTTACAAGGTCGCCCAGCATATCAAGCAGCACAAGCCAAGTTCCATCCTGCTGCAGATTGAGACGCTCGCCAAGGGTGGCTTCAATGCCAGCAAGCCAGGACGTCTCTGCTTTCTCAGCTCACAACGACTATGTAAAAGCTAGCTACTAGGACACAGTTTTACTAAATTAATTCGTTTAAAATGACAATTTTTCTCTTCTCAGTTGATGTACGGCTTGCGCAAGCTAGGAAGGCCTCCATGCCATGGAGCCCATGGAGCATGGACCCGCGCTAAGCTCGAGCAAATGAAGACACGCTGTGCACAGGAAACAAAAGCCACGATTTGCTGTGCAACAGCGTGCTCGGCGTCGTGCAAACGCGCACTGGCCCTTCTACGTGTGAAAGTGTATACTGGCGGCTATTTTGTGGTGTCTACTGAGGCCGAATCTCATTCTAATGTGGGCTTTCACACACGATTTATTAATACATGTACTGTACAGTGCCCCTTTTGCCACGGACGATTCAATTCATGCCGATGTTTGCCGTTTAAACCACCGTTATACCAGGGGCTAATGGTAACCAAATATCATATGATATTTTTGATAGTAATAGTACTAGTACTTGCCGTCACTCTCACAATTGTCCCTCCCTCAGGATTGATTAGTAATACTTCAGCTAGTCGAGCGCTAACGACATCTGATTGGTGAATTTATCCCGATTACGCAATCTTTTAAAAATATAATATAGTATTAACTAATACTAAGCTGATATTTAATAATATCATATTGTCTCAGAAGAAAATATTAGGTGATATTTTTTATATTAAGTGGTCTACAGGTGATATTTTCACTATATTAACTTCACCGATTTTGGAGTTACCATTAACCCCTGCGTTATACATGTACCTTTATGTTCACCGAGTGTACAACATGCGCCCAGCGTTCTGTCGACACCAATTCAGTGTACACATGTACCGTTTTAATTGTGTGCTTTCGTCGGTCACACTATCCTTAATAATCAGATCGTCTTCGAAAATGTTTTGATCTTTTTATCGATTATTAAAGGATTATTTATTTCAGTTTTTGTTGGTCTGAAGCCGTCGAATTAAAAGCATGTCTCCAATCCTTGTTATGTTCGCGTTTCCAGTTCAGCCACCATATTATTGCCTTGCGGATGGCGACGATATAGTTCTGTGAGCCAAGTCGACATGCTGGGTTGTAATACAGGTGCTGTCAAGTTTGATTTTAAGTGCTTAAGGGGGTTATTTCATTTGAGAAACTAAAACGATGATGATAGAGTAAAACAGAGACTTCGGTTGTCATGCAAAGTACACTGCTACTGACGTAGGACTCAAATAATGACATTTTGTGTTTAAGCAACCGACAAATGGGCTGCACCGGTACTACCGTCTTCCCCCGCACACTACGCCTAGGCGCTTTAATAAAATAATGGAATTATAACTTTCGCGATAAGAAATTCGTATAGAACACATAGCAAAATACAACGCCTACTACATATAACAGTAGCATGTGTAATTATAGCTGTAATAGGAGGTGGTTGGCTGTCAGTGTTTGACCACAACTCCTCTCGTTCCTCTTGTCGGTTGCTCATTCCCAAGTTGCCATGGTGAAAAGCAAGCGCTGAAACTATACTATCAAAGAGAAGCTGGATATTCTGTCCCAACACGCCAAAGACGTCAAAGGAAAAGGCTTCTTTGCTTTAGGGAAAAAACACCAAATAGCTCCAGGAACAATTCGAGGGTGGTGGGATCTCCGCGACAAACTAAAGGAAGCTCTGAGAGACCGTGATATTACCACGCGTACAGCAAGAAGGCTGGGTGGGGGAGGAAGACCTGCCAAGCACGGTGATGTAGAGTTTCGTCTACATGAGTGGATTTTAGACAGAAATACTAGAGGACTGCGGGTCAAGGACGCTTTCATCCGGCGGCAAGCTCTGAACATCTACCGAGAGCTACATGGTCCTCAGGCATCGGGGTTTAGTGCGTCTACTGGTTGGCTGGCGCGGTTTAAACGTCGGAAGAACCTCGTCTCTCGGCGTCAGACGACTACACGAATACTGCCTGATAATGCTGGAGAGATTTGCCGTGATTTCATTCATCGTGTTCACCAACTCATCGATCTGCACAATATCAAGCTTGACAACATCGTTAACATGGACCCAGTACCAAGGTACTTTGAAACCGAGCCAAAGACGACCATCACGACTCGCGGATTCCGTGAGGTACTTCTAAAAAAGGGA